GCTTGTCCCACTATTTTCTTTTTAAATCCAATAACGAAACGTTCTAGCAGAGAAAAGACTTTACATGTAAATTTGATGTTGATCTTGGATCTCAGATTTATTCTTTTACTAGTAAAGAAAAGAAAAAATAGAATGATAACCCTTTTTTCGTCAATTACCCCTTTTTTGCGACTTTCTGCAAATTCTCAACGGCAACACTGGGCACTACCACACAAGGCAAATGTTGTCAATGCTGGCTGGAGTTGCAATGGTGATAAAGAAGCGGCGCCGTTCTGCCTTGCAAATTGTGAAATTCCCTTGGCCAAAAGGACACTCAGCATCGAGCGAGTAGCAGATAGCATTTGAGTGAGCCAACAGCAGTGGGGGAGTTGGCGTGACGCGGCAAGAAATTGCAGAATTAAGATGCTTATCTCGATGGGCTTTAGTAGATACGATTGGATTACGAGTAGCTTTGCGCCTACTTGTCGGCACTTGTCAACATTCGTTCGCTTGCTCGCTCCCCCTGTCACTTTCCCAAATGCCCTCCTCCACTGCTTGCACTTGCGAATAATCAAGTGTTTTTCCTACACTTAAGAACGATTGTTTTTTTTCTTTATTTTTATTATCTTTATTTAATTCCTGTTGCTACGTTCAACGACTCGCTCGCCATGCTTGTTTGCTTTTATTTCATATATACTTCACTTAATATAACTTAAAGAGACATACCAGACATTTAGACAACTTGACAAAAACAACATGAAAATCAAAAAGAACAAAAACGAACAATAATGAGGCGGCAATGGCGAGCCAAAAACGCTGAGAATGAGGGAGAAATGGAGTGATATTTTATTTCATGATTAAAATTCTTATTAATATGCTATTCTTAACTTGGCTGTACGCCATATGAAAATATTCGTTCATGCATTTGTTTGTATATTTATACACCTAAGTAAGCATGTAGTATGTATGTATGTACATACAAAGGTGCTTCTCTGCGCAAAATTCATTTCAACTCGGCGAAGAATTGCCGGCGGACCAAGGCAGCAGCGCAATGGCCTGAAATCGTGGGACAAAGGCGGGTAGTAGATGCTCACTCATCTGGTTTTAACAGTGCGATATTTTTTGCTTTCTAACTTTTAGTGTATATTATATGCAAAAGCCGACAAACAAGTGCGAATTTTGGCATTTTTTAGTTCTTCATTACTTGTTTTTTATTTTTATTTTATTTTTTCGTCTTTTTGTTGTTTTTATTGATTTTCTAATTTTTCTTTCGTTTTCTATTTTTTCTCTTAACCCGTTTTGTTTTCGTATTTTTTGTTGATCAAATAATTTACCAAAGCGCGTGCTGCTGCCTCCCACACATTGAATTTGCTTGCCTTCACACTCCTGATAAATTACTACTTAGAATCATTATTTATATGCTACGAAGCCATATACATAATTACTATTTGTAACGAAGTCAAAAAGATGATGCGAATATTATGAAGAATTATTCAGGATTAATTGAAATATTTTTTTTAATTGTATTGTTTTTCCAAAAATAATCCAGGTTCGTGTACATACAAGAATACTTAGAAGGAAATGTATAAATAGTTAAAATCGTTCGGTTCGAAAACTATTTGAGAATTGGCTGAAGAATAGAGTGATTCAGAAAATTGTTGTTCTGATTCATTCATCCTACTGAAAAACGCCCTACTACCGAATTTGGTTGAAGAAGGTCATATCTCAGAATTTGGTTGAAGAACGCCCTATATCAGTAAATGAATCATAACTCCCAATCTCAGCTGCCCAAATATTGAATTTGCATTGAGATAGGGCGTTCTTGCACAAAATTCTAAGAAATGTTGGTCGTTTTCGAAGTGGCTGCAGAGATAGGTCGATCTTCCACTCAGCCGTCGATATGTAATACACACGTCTTATATGTTGTGCGTATGCGTATAAACTGACCGGTTGTTCTGAGTCTGATCAATAAAGTAATTTCAATCGCCAGTCACAGAATAGTCAGTTCATTCTATTTCTTTTTTACCTCGCTTTTATTAGCTTGGGATCTAACTATGTAATATTGAAGCGCCTAAAAGATACAGTGATTTCCATTCTCAACATACAAGTAACCTGATGACAGTACGAATGGAAATTATGAAAGCGGGTTTTTAGATTTTAAACTATATTTTTTATATGTATTTTTTTTTGAGTATTATTTTTTTTACTCGTACTCTGTTTAATTTTCCTCGATAATTTATTTAATTGACCTTTTATTTTTTATTTGCTTTTTTTTAATATGTTTTATTTCGGTTATTTGCTTTTTCTATTTTTTGATTTTTTATTTACTTTGTTTTATATTTTTAATTTTTGATATATTTTTTAGTTTATATTTTTATTGATTGTTATAGTTTTTTAAACTTTTTATATATATTTATTTGTAATTTTTATTTAATTTGCTCTTTTAAATTTTTTTGTTTATTTTTGTTTTATTTTTCCTTTTTATTTATTTTTTCACTATTTAATTTTTTACTTTATTATTTATTATTTACATTTTATACATTAAATTTTTTATATTTTGTCTTGTTTTTTATATTTTTATTTTATATTTTTTATATTTCATATATTTTATATTTCTTATATTTTATATTCTATATTTTTATCTATATTTTAAATTTTTTACATTTATACATACATATGTATATCTATTTTATATTTTATATATTTTTTTTTTTTCATTTTTATATTTTTAACATCTTTTTAATTTTTNGTTTATTACCTTATAACTTCTGAACCGCGGCACGGAAACGCACGAAACTTTGCACACTTATTTGCTTTTACCCCGGGAAGGTTATAGGGATATAGAAAAATGGACATTACTGGAAAAGAGGGCGTGGCACCTCCTATAATAATAATAATAATTATAATAGATTGGTGCTTACACATATGTTAATGTTTGGCTGAGCTTCTCCTCCGATTTGTGGCGTGCGCCTTGATGTTGTCACACAAAGCGGAGGGACCTACAGTTTGAGAAGCTGTTTTTCATGGCAGAAATACGCTCGGAGGTTTGCCATTGCCTGTCGAGGGACGACCGCTGTTAAGAAAAAACTTTTTTTCTATATTTCTGCGATGATGCTTTGACCAGGGTTTGAACCCAGGTGCTGCAGAGTAGAAGCGCGCACGCTTACCACTACACCACAGCGACCGACACCTCCTATACTAACTAAAATTTTCATGTTGTATATCTCTTGAAATATTTGTGGTAGATCACTAGAGCTTGCTGTCGAGATAAATAAAATGAATTTCATACTAATGGGAAAAAATTGGCGGAATTGGAAAAGGGGGCGTGGCACCTCCCATAGGCGTGAATTAACTTCGGAACCGTAAGACACATAAATTGAAATTTGGTATGCAAACATATCTATGGTAGATGCTTATCTTAAGGTATATATAAATGAGTTTGTAAAAAGAGGCGTGGCAGATAACATAGGCGTGGAATTTTTAGTCAGTCATAGCTTCGGAACCATAAGTCACATGACCCCTTTAATTCCTTCTGGCGTGGGGTGAAACCCGCGGGTAAAAGCTAGTATTCGCGGGTCAAGAGTAGAGGTGGGTAATGACACGATTTTTTGTGTGTTGACACAGTGGCATACGCACACCATGAGGTGTTAATACACTGTGTTAGCACAATTGTGTTATTGCTACCTATCAACCCTTCGCTCGAATTTGCTATTTTCTTATGTTTTGCGATTATTGGCGGCGAGAACACTCAACACAGCAGAGTGTGCTAAAAACCAGGGACGTGAACCGGATGACAAATTTGGTCGGTTCGGTTCAGCGGTTCGAACCGTTTTTGCACTTTTAGATGGGTTCGTCAAAGCGGTTTTTTTGATCTTTGAACCGGGATTTTTGTTCAGTTCAACGGAGATCGAGAAACAAAAAAATAACGCGCAAGTTTAAGTGTCAAGTGTCAAGTGTAAGAATGCGCAAGGTAAGGGCGAGATGGGTTGCCTTTACATTTGATATTGTCACATAGTAAACAAACATGGCAGGTATTACCATGTTTAACAAAAAGAAAAAAAATATCTATTGAAAATTGGTTGAAACGAACCTTTAAACCTTCATAGAAAGTGGTGCGGTTTTCGGTTCGGATCAAACATTTATGGAAAATTTCGGTTCGGTTAATGGTTCAGTTAATTAATAGAAAAAACGCGGTTTTCCGGTTCAAAGCCGGTTCACGTCCCTGCTAAAAACATTTCCCAGTTTGTGCTTTCATATTGTGTCAAGTGTGCTACAGTGCTATCGTTTAATCGAAAAGTGTGCCTGTGCGTGCGGCACATCGATGAGTGTTAGCACAGTAACACAGCACTGTGCTGTATTACACATCACTATTCAAGAGTAATAAGCGCTTTCTAACTGTCTCCATTAGCGATTGTTCATCTGCTGCGACACATCTCCGGCGATTAATCGCTTGCGGAGACCGTTCATCGCTAATCTCAGGCGATAGGTAGCAGGCGAGCTATCGCAGGCGGTAAACTGTCGTTTAGTGAGTTCGACAACTTGGTTTAACTTGAAACTTTGATGAAGTTGTGTTTTTCGATAACACATATGTATTTCTTAAAACAACAATCCAAGTGATTAAAACGTTATTAAGGTTGTTCGACTTAACCTTTTGACCACAAATTTTATATATGTATATACATAAATTTTTTATTTTTTATCTACATAGTATGTATGTATATTTTACTAATTTTTGTTATTTTATGTTTACTTTTCATTCTATTATTTTATTTTATTACTTTTTTTATTTTCATTTTTTATCATTTTGTTAATTTAATTTACACATTTTTTTATTTTGTCGTTTTATTTAATTTTTTTTATTCTATAATTTTATTTTATTTTATCTTTTTTTAATTTGTTTGCAAACTTCCGGTTTCTGTGAAAAATACGCCGTTATACACACAATATCACTTCCGGAAATTCCTTAAGTTTTTATAAGCTCTACCATACAAAAGTATGTTAATTAACTTCTGAACACTCACCGTCAGCATCGACTTCATTTATCATGTCTTGCAGTTCGGCTTCTGTTGGATTTTGTCCTAGTGATCGCATCACTGTGCCCAATTCTTTTGTCGTGATGGTGCCATCACCATCTTTATCGAAGAGCGAGAATGCCTCTTTGAATTCAGCGATTTGTTCTTCTGTCAGTTGGTCAGCCTGGAAAAGAGGAAGAAGAAAAAGGTTAGAAAAAATTAAAGTGATATATGTACATGCATACATACATATTTTCATAAATCAATATAATTTATGATTGTCTAAAAAATTTACTACAGATGCGTAAACGAATATGTATACTTAAGTATACTCCATAAGTATAAGGCTCCTAAAGAGCTCATTTATGAGGGAAAAGCTCCGATATAAGAAGGTTTATAGCTCAAAAAGAGTCTTTTAGGATCCTTTTGGTTAGCCGGGTTATGTATGTACATATACATACATACATATGTGTATGGCCTCGCGTCATTTATTTAATACTAGGTTTACATATACATAAGTAGATTATCCTAATTTTCGAGCTCAACTCCCTAGTCTGTAATTAGAAAAAGAGGTTAGCCATACAAAATCTCTCCTTGTTAATCTGTAATTATAAAACAATCTCAGATTAAACCGATAACTTTTCGGTATCCAACCTAGTTTTATCGATAATTTTTGCGAAGAAGAGTAGTGTTACCGTTGTGCAAATAAAGTATCAAATTGACACTTTTTGGAGATCGATGCCCCCTGACACCGACTTTATAAAAAAAATTTGTTTAAACGTTTCTTAAAAATCATGCGACTTTTGCCCCTTTTCTTTAATTTAAAATTCTATATACACATTTTGACGTGTTTAAAAATGCTTTTAGTATTTACTTTTCAAAGGCACCTTAAAAATTTCAACTCTGGCAAAATTTTTACTGATTTCAACCTTTTATTGTGTCAAACATTTTCTGCAAAAATGTTTAAATGAATTAATGCACAGTTTTTGTAGCTTAGCATTTCCCAAAAGTTAGTTGTATTAAATTTATTTTTGTCACTCCCGGTACAAACAAATAATTTGCGATAGTTCATATATATACAAACTTAAACGGCTACACTTTGTTATAACAATTGTTATCTACTAATATTGCTTTTTTGTATATGAAGTGTTATATAGATGTAAGTACATTTTTAGCTGCAATTTCGTTTCCATAATAAATGCAAAACGTGCATATTGCGTCTTTTTAATACATATATCCCTCATGAATAGGTTTTTATTTTAAGAGGAAAACTATGTTTGACAGAAAATGATGGGGCGTACTCATAGAAGAAAAGAAGTCTATTCTAAGCAGCTTTTGACAGATTTTACGTTAAAAATTATGTCAAAAGACTATAACTAATCTTACGAGTCGATGCTATTTCGAAATGTTAAATAATGAAAGTCTTTATATACTACAAACATGGTATAAACGATTTGAATGACTTAAAAACACTTTTCTCGGCTGTGACTCTTTTTTGGGGCTTTCGAAGAATTTTCAGCATTAACCCAGAGAGGAGAAATGCCAAATGTAAAAGTAAACAAAAATGGACGCTAGCAAGGAAAGGAGGTTTGCAAAGGTATTTTTAATTAAATATTGAGTTAAAATATATTTAAATTGCTTTATATAGCAGAAAAAAGAGATCACGGTGGCACAGAGATGAAAAAATAAAGTTTCCTTGAGATGGGAGAATAACAAGCACAATAAGCATGAGGGCTAATAATCTAAGATTTGCCTGTGTAAACAGGGTGATTAATAAACGAGCTTTGATTGAGATTATATTTATATGTAAACATACTTTAAGATAAGTATTAAAAACAGCATTCTTAAACATATGTACATACTATAGGGCCATTTTCACAGTCATTAGTTAACTAATATACTAATGTTAAACCACCACTTTTCATTTCATAGTATCAATTTGATCAATAGTTAAAAACAGCTGTTTTCCTTTTATTTAACTAATGACTGGGAAAATGGCCCATAGACGCATGTTTCGGCTTTAGCATTGAAGTGTGTATTTAAGCACAATATGACGTTAAAGCCACGTAGGAAAGCAAAGCGATAAAAAAGCAATAATCGTGTTTTTTCAAGGTAATTTTGCTGCTCCTAAACGCCACTAAATCGCAATTAGTAGCTAATAACATTAAAATCCTCAGACCAAAAATAACATTCCCCCGAAATAGTAAACGTAATAACAAATGAAACGTGCGTTCGATCATACCAAAAATCATATCAAAATACAATTACCACTATACCATTTTCCAGCGCCTGTTTTTTTACTAAAACTCAGCCTAATCCAAACTTAGAACTGTTGACGACACACGCTTGTCAGTAAGCAAAAACAAACCGATTGGCTAACGTCACTAAAAAAAAAAACATGATTGAAAAACAATGCTGATAAGGAGGAAACTTGTTTGGCAACCAGAATTAAAAAAAAAAAAAAAAAAAAAATTAACATTAAACCGCGTGACTGACGTTAGAATTTTACTTTGCTTCTTTGCCAGCTATTAGCTTCGTAGCTAAAACCGCAAACAAACACTCACCATTATGTACTAAATGTTTAAATCCTCGTATTTTAGAAAAAAAGCACACACGAGCAATAAATATGTTATCGAAATATAAGAATCTTTTTATTTTATTGGTTCTGCGTATTATATTTAATTAGTTGATATGTTTATTCCTGTTGATTCACCGGTCAGCAGTTGAAACGGTACAGAAATTGTCGCAACGAAAGATAAGACGGCCACGATTTGGACAGAGGTGCTGTTGTTAGTAGATTGTAGAAAGAAAGGAGAAGTGGCAAATTGGAATTTCGACGAGCTTGATAAATTCAGTTTAAACAGCTTTTTTACCGCCACGTAAACACACACGCTCCCTCACCCACTGCACTCTTCAAAAACACGAGGCGATGCAACAGCGACAACGACAACTACGCGAGTTCAAGGGCTATGCGGCGACAATTTGTTATCTTTGAAGTACCACAATGAATATTTTATTTTCAGTTTTCTTATTTCTTTTGTTTTCTTTCAGACAGCACTTCCGTTGCGCGTTCTCTAATCTTCAAATATAAGAACGTGTTTGTTGTGGCAAACTGTTTTCTTTTTGGAGCAAAGCTTTTGTTTCGCTTCTTATGTCAGTTTGCTTTAATTTCTGCAGCTGACTGATTGACAATTGTGAAAACTCTAGAAGTGGCTGTCGAAAAATTGATGCTTGAATCACAGTTTGCCACATTAAACACCTGAATTTATCGAAGGCAGGAAGAGGATGTGCTGAATGCTGAATAAAGGAAACGAGTGGAGTAACGAACGAATAATGCATAGTTTTAAGAATTTCGAAAAAAAGAAAAATGCATGAAACGTATTTAAAAACAGCGCACATCCAAATACGGCAACTAACGTCAAATATATGTACATACATAAAAGATAGATAACAAGCAAGCAAATAAAATGTGAATATAAATAACATACAAAACAGATTGTAATGCAGATATGTAACTACAAAATAAATCACAAAATATGTACATACGTGAAACAGACACCTACTATTATTTGCTAAAAATATGCGCAATTCGGTGTTGAGTTTCCGTTAAGCTCTTTTTGACAACAAAAACTACCAGAGTCAGCAGCAGCGGACTGACGTCAACGGGTGGGCCAGACATAAGCATTGGAGTGGTGAATACAAATGTGCTATGTATTCTTATGTGCATACGTACATACATATGAAACTAGATACTCAACAGTTAATCACATATGTACATAAATATTTATTAGGTATATGTACATAAAACTCCACAAAACAATTTGGTGTATGCGGATAATGGTAGTTGCGACAAATAACGCATAATAAATTTAAAAAAATTTGTGTCAGCTTCTGCTTAGCGCAGGTCAAGAATACATAATAAAAAATGTATGTACATATGTGCATACGAACGCCCAAAGTGACTTCAAAAAAAAATAAAAAAATCAGTAATTAGCCCCAAAAGGTACATATCGTCATTACCAAGTCAAACTATCGAATGTGCTAAAATACTTTTTCATTAACGATAGCATCGTTACGATACCTTGCGCATGCGTTTACAATGATACGTAAGTTGAAAAATCTTCGAATTTCTAGTCTTCTTAGAAGCAGAGGATACTGTCTTGAACAAGTGTCGAATCCCAGACTTTTTTCTAATTACAACCGCTTTTTTGCTCTTCTGAAAAGTACCCAGTTACCCAGTACCCCAGTATGCAGTTTTGTAATCGGTCCTAATATGGTTGTCGACGTCGAGGTAATTTGTTCGTCAAAAAATAGCCATCGCTAGTAAAACGCCTTTTCTCCCATACAAAAGAAATTGAGACGTTTATTTTTGTGTCCAACAGGTACACACAGTACTAGGAGTCTTTAATTTTATTGAAAAACTATATTCAACAATTTTTAACTAAAAAAAACTATTTCAAAAAATTAATAAGAGCCAATTTGCACGATATCTTTTCCCCTGCGTGGAAAGCCATGCGTGTCGAGCTTGGCATGCACGCACTTTCAGCGAAATCGAGGTATTTTTTTGACCTTTCGCTTTTATCGAATTCACATTTTCGTATTTTTACCTTGTTTTCGCGATTCGCTCCGCTTTAAAAAAAAAAACGCAAAGAACGCCGCAAACAAAAAGTCATCGTGTAAACGCACGTAGATTTTCGAAAGACTTTTGTAAAAGAGCATGTGCAAAAAACTNAAGCCATGCGTGTCGAGCTTGGCATGCACGCACTTTCAGCGAAATCGAGGGATTTTTTTGACCTTTCGCTTTTATCGAATTCACATTTTCGTATTTTTACCTTGTTTTCGCGATTCGCTCCGCTTTAAAAAAAACGCAAAGAACGCCGCAAACAAAAAGTCATCGTGTAAACTCACGTAGATTTTCGAAAGACTTTTGTAAAAGAGCATGTGCAAAAAACGCAGGACGAACAGTCATCATATAAAAAGGATATAATACTCGTAAAAATTAGTGTTGGGAAGTAAGTATCGTGTTATTTTGAAGATCGAGTTCTTTGGTGTCTATACTTTTAAGGAACGGGTATTTTTTCTTTAAATAAATATACACACTATGGCAACATTTCAATGCTTAGTGTAGGAAAATCACAAGCTGCCAGCACTTTATTCAAATTCATATATTAATCCCTAATTACG